TGTTCTTCCCAACTGGATTCCCAAGTGTTGGGAAACTCATTTTCAGCCAGGACACCAATAATAATGAATATTCTTTTCATCCCTACTCTACAGGGTGTCACAGTTTTACCTAGTCAGATACAACTGAAGAGGCTAATGTATGTACAAAACAAATGCTTTCCCACTAAAATTTGGCCCCTTATATCAAGGGGCCTCTGAACAAGATCTGGGTTAAAAAGATAGCTATTCCATAAAAGCTATAACTTTGTGCACGTGTGCATATTCCTGTTTCTCTTGAATACAATGAATTCAGGAATCATTTTTTCAACAGAGCAATGAACATAGGATTCAAGCCTATCCATGAAACATTTCTACTGTTCCATGTGGATCTCCCCCTTTTTTCATTTAGGGCTAAATGCTTCCCTTCAGATTTGTTCTCTATGAGGATTTCAGCATGTGACCTGTTGTTGTCTTCATCTGGCAGGTAGCAATGACAAGTTGCTGTCACCTTGTTTCCACTGTGATACACAGATTCTGTAACTTATGAATCATGATGTATGAGAAATGGAAATCTCTATTGTGGCGTGCTTTTGGCATCTCTTATTTCTCTTCACAGGGGCCTTATTACATTTTGACAGGTGTCTGACATGAGATGCCAGCACTGATTTTCACCTTGGTCTGCCACCTTTAATTTCATTGCTTAGGACCTGAGAGACAATAAATGGGATTTGAACACCAGTTGAAACCTTACTTTCACCCTATTTTAATTTTCATTTGCATGAGATGTACCAGTATGCGGCAGTTAGCAAGACAGGCATTATTTGCTCAACAGACCTGGCTTGGTAAATTAATCTACCTTCCACTTCAGCTAGAAGCTCATCAAAAAAAAAAGGGGGGGGGATGGAATACAGTATTATATTCTCTTCCCCCCCCCCAACAAGCAACAACACAAAATTCACAAAAGCTGACTTCAGCAAAAATAGCAAAGATGTTGCTTTGCTACTTCTCTGTTAATGATGTTTTAATTCATCACTCCTATTAGATGTTACTGCACAAGTACACAGAAAGCCATCATGCAGATGTGTTGATAGATTCTGGGGTGCTGAACTAGATGAGCTCAGAAATATTTGCATATTGAATTTCCCTGCTTTGGGGTTGTTTTTGAGATTTTTTTTAGTTATTCAAAAACTTCTAATTATTTGGATTGCATCCATCTTAGTAGAAGAACTGCCCCTTTAATTCTACTGATAGTTCTGCTTTTCCATATAATGGATAAAAATATATACAGATTTACAAGTCACAATGACACCATTTTATGTCCAGATATGAATGCCTGTTCCTTCTCGCAGGGGTAGGTAACCTTTTCCCTTTAAGGGCCGAGGGACTTCAGCTCCCAGAAGCCTCAGCCATGTTGGCCAATACTCCCATGTTGGCCAATAGCTCCTGGGATTTTGGGAGCTGAAGTCCCTTGGCCCTTAAAGGGGAAAGGTTGCCTACCCCTGTACTAGTGTGACCACTGGAAAGAGAATGGAATGTATAACCTGGAGAACTTTGATGGGATATATTTGCTCTTCCCTCATCTGCTCAATCAACTTAACAGTTGTGAATTGTGTTATGTCCTGTTGTGGAAAAGGACATCTAACACAATGCTCATTTGTACACTGTTACAATTCTCTATCATGGTCGAGTATTGTGTCACAGGTGTAGGTCCATAATCATAAAGTTGCTCCTCACAACCCAGACCATTGCCTCTCAAACCAACAGTTCTCTGGATGGACATCCTGCTTTCTTCCCCCAGAACCAGGACAAAGGTGTGGGCCCCTGCTAAACTTTCGTTTAAACTTCCTAGCTCTGAAAATGAAATATGGGCTGGGGGAAAATACTTCCTTTGTTTAAAAAAAATGGAAGGGAAGTTATGCTGGTTAAGAGGAAGGTCATTTTCCTATCATTGCATAGCCAAAGGCATCCTTATCTCAAAAAAGGTAAAGTAAACTTCAGACAGAGCTAGGCAGACACAAGTTTGTTTTTTTAGCTGGAACTGTGCTTGTTGACACCAGCTATCTTTGTGAAAGACCCTTCTTCCCAATTGGGAA